TCTACACAAGCCTTTATCCATCGACAATCGACACAAGCCTCATAAGCAATGTTTGTTAAGCATTCTGATTTATTTTTGCATTTGAATGATATTATAATTTCTTCTTTGGCTTCCACTATAGAGTTTGAAACTGCCAAGAAAAAATTTATTAAATTCAATAATATTATTATACAAACAATGAGTAAAATTTAGTTTGAGGTAAAAAACTACATGCAAGTCGAGGTGAAGACAAGAGTAGCCAACAATACTGCAATGGTTACACGAAGGTTGTTCATATTTTCTTTGAGTTCTTGAATCTTTTTTTTTTTTTTTTTTAGATTTTTGATCAGAAGCTGTTTAGTACAAATGATGGAAGATTACAGTAATACCATCACTGATACATATATATAGATAGAATCATGATGGGTCAAGAAGGTTACTTCGTTGCCTAAAATGTTTTATTTGTGCAAGTGTTTTCATTGAATTAAGCTAATGCAATATATGGTAGGTTTGCAAATATCTATTTAAGTTGTGCATATTTGTTACATTTGGTAATAACTTATTTCTTTGACCACAAATATTTAAATTTTGCATAATTATTACTTACAGAAATTCATATTTTTTATTTCTATTTTTTATATAAAAATATCATTTAATATTTTAATTTAGAATAATTAAATTTAGCAAAGAGACTTTAATAGAAAAAGATGGCACTAGTACAAAACTAAAATATGGAGCAACTTTATTACGGAAAATTGGCTTTTTCAGGCTCGAACTTTCCAAAAATGGTAAATGTATATGTAAACTTATGCGCGGTGCTTTAACATACTTAATCTATGTTAACATTTAAATTTCATCCTTAAACGTTGTTTTAGTTTGAATTTCAACCTTAATCTTTTCCTTTTGTGCTAAAAACAGACCTAATTCTGTTAACTCTCCGTCAGAAGACGCTTATGTGGATGCCACCTAATTAACGATGTCCTATTTGGTTGTCGAAGTTTTTTTTTTAAAAAGGCCCAGACGACGTTGTTTTCTATTTATCAATTCTGGGGAAATAAATGAAACAACGCCGTTTTGTCTCATCTTTGTCTTCAACCCCTCGACGACATTATTCAGAGATGAATTAGGGATTTGAAAATCCAGTTTTTCAATCTCTTAATTCTTGTTCGAGCTCGTTCATCTAGCAGTTCGGGTAAGTTGTTATACAAATTTCCCTTTTATGTTTCGTGAGTGTTTGGATTTTTGAGCAATTGATGTTTTTTATATCCGATGACTAAGAAATCCTGTCTTTTAACATTGTATTTTGTGAAGGAATAATGTTTAAACGGCAGGAGAGTGAACGAGGAAGAGGCATACCGAAGAAATGTCGATGTGGTGCAGGATCTATTATCAGAACCTCAGAGACATATCAAATCAGCTCTGTTTTCAGCACCATTGTCGTTGTTTTGATCCACACCATCATGAAAAGCAGCTCTGTTTTTCTGCAGGGATTTCATCATGCAAAGCAGCTCTGTTTTCAGCACCATTGTTGTCGTTTTGATCCACACCATCAACTCCTTCAACAAAATATTCACGTTCCTAAAAAACATCTGCAGCTTTCGTCCAGAACACAGCATCACACATTATTCGAAAGTTTATAGCCCCATCCCTGAGAACCTTCAGTTCCGTAAGTTCCTCAAACGGAAGTTTGTACCAAATCCTCTGTCCACTCAAAGAAATGCTCAATGATTCCATCAGATTAACAAACAGTGATGTCGGGTTGCTTATGAGTGTGTGGACTTCTCCTCCGACATATGCTGTTTTGTTTTCAATCGAGATCTCAAACTTTCCATTGTGATAAACTTGAAACACAGCCTCGTTCTCACTAAAACAACAGAGTTAGAACAAAGTAAGAATCAAACATCATATATAGCCCGTGTCGAAGTCAACTAAGATATTGACTTAGAACAAATAACGTATCTACGTCGCGTAAAATCCTAAACCGATCTAATCGAAGCCACAAACTAGAAAACATTATCACGCAAGCCGTCTAAACCCTAATCGATCCCAACAATAGAAAGAAAAAACCACTATTTGAAAGTTTACCTCATGTTTCCAACCCGTAAGTGATGATAACCAAAAGCTTACACCACCTAAACACTGAACTTGATATTTAGGGTTTCTAAACTCTTGATCGCTCTGTTACTTCACTTTGACGAAGAAGACGAGCATATGAAAGGTTCTCTCGCTGTTTAAGTATTTTCCAAGTTATATTTTTTTGTTTTATCATTTTTCAGGACCAAACGACTACGTATTGTTTTTTTTTAATCGATTTGTGATGAGTCAAACGATGTCGTCTGTGTTTTCTTCTAAAACTAAGACAGAATAATACAATGTCGTCACTTACGTGGACGCCATATAGACCACGGTTGACAGAATAATTAACAGAGTTGGGACGTAAATTGGTTTTAGCACAAAAAGAAATGATTAAGGTTGAAATTCAAACTAAAACAATGTTTAAAGATGAAATTCAAATGTTAATATAGATTAAGTATGTTAAAGCACCACACATAATTTTAGGTATACATTTAACATTTTCGGAATGTTCGAGCCTGAAAAAGCTAATTTTTCCACTTTATTACACACCCATTCTTTGACCTTAAATTTTACATGATAGCGTTGCTACATAATGGTTATTAAAAAAAAATTTCTTAGGATAAGCCGGTAATTTTATTTTTATTACATCGTAGACAAAATAAAATTGTTATGAATTGATGCATATGTCTCTTCCTTTTATATTTTGAATCGGAAAAACATATCTAGGCTATGACCTACATGATTTCACATAGGTGAGCAACAGTAGCAGAAAATAATGACAAACAAGATAGAGTCCTATAAGTTAAAGAAGATTAATTTGCTTTCTCATTACATGTGGATGAGGATTAATCTATTTTTCTTTTTAATTTCTTTCGTTCAATACAATTTAAATCTCAAGACATATAGTTTGGTAAGGAGTACTAGATTTTGTCAGTATGATATTATATTATCTAATACTAAGTTCAATCTACTTAATTATAACTTCATTGTACGATAATTGGCAAATTATTGTTTGCAGCCTTCTAGCTCGATAAGCCCAATAATTTGATATCTACATAAACCTCTTTGAATGACAGATAAGCAACTTTTTCTTTCTTTGAACCTTAATAATCTTGGGCTATGGTAATAGTGATTAGTGAGTACTAGTATTTAAAGCTCCTTAACAAATTGGATCTTTAAATCAAACACCTAGCACCATCAAACCCACATCCTAGACACTCTAATTTATTTAGAAAAAAAGCCCATATAATTTATATGTAAAAAGTTTTTTTTTTGTTCAACGACTTCCATTAAGGCTCAGAAACAGAGATTTCATAGTCAAAAAACTCTTTTTGTAATCGAGTCGGCCATACAGTTGGCCTCTTTAAGAATAAAATGATTAAAAAATCATAGAAAATAATATGGCTAACATCCTAATATCATAAAGAACCTCATGCAGTTAGAGTTCAAATTTTTTACTAGAGGTCGACAATCCGAGAGGAAGATGTGCAATTCTATAGTTTAAAGCATCCAATTGAGAGTTGAGACATTACCAACCAAATTGCCCATGCTTCTGCTGCCAACGGGGATGTCATGTTCTGTTTTTGATCTGAGAAATACTCTTCATCAGGTTCATCATTTTCGCCAAAGAAAAAGTCCATACTACTGTTACCGGATATCTTCAAAGCTACGTCAGCAAAGCACAGAGTGCCTGAAGTCGATAGAGAGATGCTGTTTGGTGTAGTCTGCGTTGGTTTCTTTTGATGCAGGTGGTCCCGCGCTGTTGTGTATTTTGGAGATAGTTGATATAAAATGGAGAGTTGGTAATATTTTATATTTGATTTTCTAATGATACGTTGGTAATGTTGGATATTCAAAAGGTTAATTTTCAATTTTTTTTATAATAGGAGTTAGTTTTCATGATATGGGTTTAAACTTTTTTGAGGGAGATGGCAGATCTTCATAGAAACTCGTCAGGTCCAGTAACAGAGAGGAAGACATATGGGTAGGAGAATCTGGTGGTTGAATAGATTCTAGTGGTGCCTCCACAACAAATAGCTTGGAATAGGCCTCAACATTTTAAGATGGGAAATCCGTCCTAATTTATACCCGTTTTGAATTTTCTGTTCTAATCCCAATCAAGTTTAAATGATTTCTTGTTTTGGACTATTTATGGAGTTTAAATGTGTATGAGAAGAGTACACGAAGAGAACAAAAATGAGATAAGGTACCGAATTACCAGTTTTAGGATAAACTTTGTAAAGTAATATAAATACCTAATAATGATCCATAATTTTCCAAACTTCCCAAGATATTTTGAATTTCCAGAAATTTCCTGAAATACCTGTCCCGCTGTTGATTTTTACCCAAGTGATTAAGAATTTGTGAAATGATTATAGATACCCATATTTCTCGACACTGTTTTGTTACCCGAATTTCCCATCCCAATTCTTGTTTATTAGATACTGTTTTTCAATACCCGAACTGTTCGTTCCAGTCCTTTACTCGTATTCCCCATCCTGATACTTGAAATGCCCGTATCTAGTTTGGATATACAAAAAAAAGAAATAAAAAAACACCAAACGTGATTTTAATTTTTCCCATATACTATATAGTTTGTTTAAGCAAAGTTGCATTACAAAAAGGTAAATAAAATTAGCGACGAATACAAGAATATCCATGATTATGCAAATGTCGATAACTTTTTTTCTGCAAATTCTTAAACCGATTTTCGTAGAATTTTATTGAAACCGATCGAATGGTTGTGATCAATGTAACAATCAAAGTCTTGAAGTCTAAAATTTTTTACATACATGTCATATCATGGTACCTCTGATTTTTTTTTATTATTTATATGAGATTAATTATAAATAAGATATTTGATTTTTATGAACTATAAATTTTGCTTTTTATTATATCTTTTTTTTTTTGCATTACAAAAAGGAGATTTAATAGGAAATCAGTGAGTTAATTAAGCTGTGCAACTGTTGGAGTACTGACTTCTTCATCGAAACCATGGCATCTACACAAACCATTATCGCATCGGCAATCGACACAAGCCTCACAAGCAATATTTGTTAAGCATTCTGATTGTTTTTTGCATTTGAATGATATGATAATTTCGTCTTTGGCTTCCACTTTAGAATTTGAAACTGCCAAGAACAAAGGAATTAAATATAATAATGCTATTACATGAACAATAAGTAGAAATTAGTTTGAGGTAAAAAACTACATACAAGTCGAGGTGAAGACAAGAGTGGCCAACAACACTGCAATGGTTACACGAAGGTTGTTCATATTTTCTTTGAGTTCGGAATTGCTTTTTTTTTTTTGTAGAATTTGATCAGAAGCTGTTTGGTGTAAATGATGGAAGACAACAATAATATGCATATATAGATAGAATCATGATTGGTCAAGAAGGTTACTTCGTTGCCTAAAATGATTTAGTTGTGCAAGTGCTTTTGTTGAATTATGCAAATGCAATATATGGTAGGTTTGCAAATATCTATTTAAGTTGTGCATATTTGTTACTTTTGGTAATAACTTATTTCTTTGACCACAAATATTTAAATTTTGCATAATTATTACTCACAGAAATTTTAATTGTAATTTCTATTTCTTTGATAAAAATATCATTCACTATTTTAATTTAGAATAATTAAATTTAGCAAAGAGACTTTAATAGAAAAAGATGGCACAAGTATAAAACTAAAATATGGAGCAAATTCAACACACCAATCCTTTGACTTTAAATTTTACATGATAGCGATGCTATATAATGGTTATTAAAGAAAAACTTTCTTATGATAAGCTGGTAATTTTATTTTGTAGACAGATATAATTGTTATGAATTGATGCTATATCGGAAAAAAATTTCTAGGCTACGACCTACATGATTGCACATAGGTGGACAACAGTGGAAGACAATAATGTCACACACGATAGAATACTATGACTATGATTAGTTAGTGAAGATAATATCTACACCAGAAGATTGATTTGCTTTCTCAACACATATGGATAAGGATTAATTTATCTATTCTTTTTAATTTCTTTTGTTCCATACAATTTAAATCCCAAGAAATATAGTTTAGTAAGGAGTACTAAATTTTGTAAGTATGATATAATATTATATAGTACAAAGTTTTTTTTTGAACTGCTTTATATAGTACTAAGTTCAATCTACTTATTATAATTTTATCGTACGACAATTGGCAAATTATTTGCAGCCTTCTAGCTCGATCGGCTCAATAATTTGATCTCTATATAAACCTCTGTGAAAGACAGATAATTCACATTTTCTTTCTTTAAACCTTAGAAATCTAGGGCTATATTAAAAGAGACCAATATCATTTAAAGCTATTTATAAATCAAATATTTAGAACTTTAAGAATCTTGGGCTATGGTAATAAAGCTTAGTGAGTACTAGTATTTGAAGCTCCTTAACAAATTGGATCTTTAAATCAAACACCTAGCACCTTCAAACCCACATCCTAGACACTCTAATTTATTTAGCCCAAAAGCCCATATAATTTATATGTAAAATTTTTTTTGTTTGTTCAACGACTTCCATTAAGGCTCAGAAACAGAGATTTCAGAGTAAAAGAGCTCTTTTTAAAATCGAGTCAGCCATACAGTTGGCCTCTTTAAGAATAAAATGATAAAAAAATCATAGAAAATAACATGGCTAACATCCTAATATCATAAAGAACCTTCTGCAGTTAGAGTTAAAATTTTTTACTAGAGGTCGACAATCCGAGAGGAAGATGTGCAATTCTATAGTTTGAAGCATCCGTTTGAGAGTTGAGACATTACCAACCAAATTGCTCATGCTTCTGCTGCCAACGGGGATGTCATGTTCTGTTTTTGATCTGAGAAATACTGTTCATCAAGTTCATCATTTTCGCCAAAGAAAAAATCCATACTACTGTTACCGGATATCTTCGAAGCTACGTCAGCAATGCACATAGTGCCTGAAGTCGATAGAGAGATGATGTTTGGTGTAGTCTGCGTTGGTTTCTTTTGATGCAAGTGGTCCCGTGCTGTTGTGTATTTTGGAGATAGTTGATATACAATGGAGAGTTGGTAATATTTTATATTTGATTTTCTAATGATACGTTGGTAATGTTGGATATTCAAAAGGTTAATTTTCAATTTTTTAAAAATAGGAGTTAGTTTTCATGATATGGGTTTAAACTTTTTTGAGGGAGATGGCAGATCTTCATAGAAACTCATCAGGTCCAGTAACAGAGAGGAAGACATATGGGTAGGAGAATCTGGTGGTTGAATAGATTTTAGTGGTGCCTCCACAACATATAGCTTGGAATAGGCCTCAACATTTCAAGACGGGAAATCCGTCCTAATTTATACCCTTTTTGAATTTTCTGTTCTAATCCCAATCAAGTTTAAATGATTTCTTGTTTTGGACTATTTATTGAGTTTAAATGTGTATGAGAAGAGTACACGAACAGAACAAGAATGAGATAAGGTACCGAATTACCAGTTTTAGGATAAACTTTTTAAAGTAATAAAAATACCTAATAATGATCCATAATTTTCCAAACTTCCCAAGATATTTTGAATTTCCAGAAATTTCCTGAAATACCTGTCCCACTGTTGATTTTTACCCAAGTGATTAAGAATTTGTGAAATGATTATAGATACCCATATTTCTCGACACTGTTTTGTTACCCGAATTTCCCATCCCAATTCTTGTTTATTAGATACTGTTTTTCAATACCCGAACTGTCCGTTCCAGTCCTTTACCCGTATTCCTCATCCTGATACCTGAAATACCCGTATCTAGTTTGGATATACAAAAAAAAGAAATAAAAAAACACTCAAACGTGATTCTAATTTTTCCCATATATTATATAGTTTGTTTAAGCAAAGTTGCATTACAAAAAGGTAAATAAAATTAGCGACGAATACAAGAATATCCATGATTATGCAAATGTCGATAACTTTTTTTATGCAAATTCTTAAACCAATTTTCTTAGAATTTTATTGGAACCGATCGAATGGTTGTGATCAATGTAACAATCAAAGTCTTGAAGTCTAAAAATTTTTACATACATGCCATATCATGGTACCTTTGATTTATTTTTTTATTATTTATATGAGATTAATTATAAATAAGATATTTGATTTTTATGAACTATAAATTTTGCTTTTTATTTTCTCTTTTTTTTTGCATTACAAAAAGGAGATTTAATAGGAAATCAGTGAGTTAATTAAGCTGGTAATGGTGCAACTGTTGGAGTACTGACTTCTTCATCGAAACCATGGCATCTACACAAGCCATTATCGCATCGGAAATCGACACAAGCCTCACAAGCAATATTTGTTAAGCATTCTGATTATTTTTTGCATTTGAATGATATGATAATTTCGTCTTTGGCTTCCACTTTAGAATTTGAAACTGCCAAGAACAAAGGAATTAAATATAATAATGCTATTACATGAACAATAAGTAGAATTTAGTTTGAGGTAAAAAACTACATACAAGTCGAGGTGAAGACAAGAGTGGCCAACAACACTGCAATGGTTACACGAAGGTTGTTCATATTTTCTTTGAGTTCGGAATTGCTTTTTTTTTTTGTAGAATTTGATCAGAAGCTGTTTGGTGCAAATGATGGAAGAAAACAATAATATGCATATATAGATAGAATCATGATTGGTCAAGAAGGTTACTTCGTTGCCTAAAAGGATTTAGTTGTGCAAGTGCTTTTGTTGAATTATGCAAATGCAATATATGGTAGGTTTGCAAATATCTATTTAAGTTGTGCATATTTGTTACATTTGGTAATAACTTATTTCTTTGACCACAAATATTTAAATTTTGCATAATTATTACTCACAGAAATTTTAATTGTAATTTCTATTTCTTTGATAAAAATATCATTCACTATTTTAATTTAGAATAATTAAATTTAGCAAAGAGACTTTAATAGAAAAAGATGGCACAAGTATAAAACTAAAATATGGAGCAAATTCAACACACCAATCCTTTGACTTTAAATTTTACATGATAGCGATGCTATATAATGGTTATTAAAGAAAAACTTTCTTATGATAAGCTGGTAATTTTATATTGTAGACAACATATAATTGTTATGAATTGATGCTATATCGGAAAAATTTATCTAGGCTACGACCTACATGATTGCACATAGGTGGACAACAGTGGAAGACAATAATATCACACACGATAGAATACTATGACTATGATTAGTTAGTGAAGATAATATCTACACCAGAAGATTGATTTGCTTTCTCAACACATATGAATAAGGATTAATTTATCTATTCTTTTTAATTGCTTTTGTTCCATACAATTTAAATCCCAAGAAATATAGTTTAGTAAGGAGTACTAAATTTTGTAAGTATGATATAATATTATATAGTACTAAGTTTTTTTTTGGAACTGCTTTATATAGTACTAAGTTCAATCTACTTAATATAATTATATTGTACGAGAATTGGCAAATTATTTGCAGCCTTCTAGCTCGATCGGCTCAATAATTTGATCTCTATATAAACCTCTGTGAATGACAGATAATTCAGATTTTCTTTCTTTAAACCTTAGAAATCTAGGGCTATAGTAAAAGAGACCAATATCATTTAAAGCTATTTATAAATCAAACATTTAGAACTTTAAGAATCTTGGGCTATGGTAATAGTGCTTAGTGAGTACTAGTATTTAAAGCTCCTTAACAAATTGGATCTTTAAATCAAACACCTAGCACCATCAAACCCACATCCTAGACATTCTAATTTATTTAGCCCAAAAGCCCATATAATTTATATGTAAATTTTTTTTGTTTGTTTAACGACTTCCATTAAGGCTCAGAAACAGAGATTTCAGAGTCAAGGAGCTCTTTTTGTAATCGAGTCGGCCATACAGTTGGCCTCTTTAAGAATAAAATGATAAAAAAATCATAGAAAATAACATGGCTAACATCCTAATATCATAAAGAACCTCCTGTAGTTAGAGTTAAAGTTTTTTACTAGAGGTCGACAATCCGAGAGGAAGATGTGCAATTCTATAGTTTGAAGCATCCGTTTGAGAGTTGAGACATTACCAACCAAATTGCCCATGCTACTGCTGCCAACGGGGATGTCATGTTCTGTTTTTGATCTGAAAAATACTCTTCATCAGGTTCATCATTTTCGCCAAAGAAAATATCCATACTACCGTTACCGGATATCTTCGAAGCTACGTCAGCAATGCACATAGTGCCTGAAGTCGATAGAGAGATGATGTTTGGTGGAGTCTGCGTTGGTTTCTTTTGATGCAGGTGGTCCCGCGCTGTTGTGTATTTTGGAGATAGTTGATATAAAATGGAGAGTTGGTAATATTTTATATTTGATTTTCTAATGATACGTTGGTAATGTTGGATATTCAAAAGGTTAATTTTCAATTTTTTTAAAATAGGAGTTAGTTTTCATGATATGGGTTTAAACTTTTTTGAGGGAGATGACAGATCTTCATAGAAACTCGTCAGCTCCAGTAACAGAGAGGAAGACATATGGGTAGGAGAATCTGGTGGTTGAATAGATTCTAGTGGTGCCTCCACAACAAATAGCTTGGAATAGGCCTCAACATTTCAAGATGGGAAATCCGTCCTAATTTATACCCGTTTTGAATTTTCTGTTCTAATCCCAATCAAGTTTAAATGATTTCTTGTTTTGGACTATTTATGGAGTTTAAATGTGTATGAGAAGAGTACACGAAGAGAACAAGAATGAGATAAGGTACCGAATTACCAGTTTTAGGATAAACTTTTTAAAGTAATATAAATACCTAATAATGATCCATAATTTTCCAAACTTCCCAAGATATTTTGAATTTCCAGAAATTTCCTGAAATACCTGTCCCGCTGTTGATTTTTACCCAAGTGATTAAGAATTTGTGAAATGATTATAGATACCCATATTTCTCGACACTGTTTTGTTACCCGAATTTCCCATCCCAATTCTTGTTTATTAGATACTGTTTTTCAATACCCGAACTGTTCGTTCCAGTCTTTTACCCGTATTCCCCATCCTGATACTTGAAATGCCCGTATCTAGTTTGGATATACAAAAAAAAGAAATAAAAAAACACTCAAACGTGATTCTAATTTTTCCCATATACTATATAGTTTGTTTAACCAAAGTTACATTAAAAAAGGTAAATAAAATTAGCGACGAATACAAGAATATCCATGATTATGCAAATGTCGATAACTTTTTTTCTGCAAATTCTTAAACCGATTTTTGTAGAATTTTATTGAAACCGATCGAATGGTTTTGATCAATGTAACAATCAAAGTCTTGAAGTCTAAAATTTTTTACATACATGCCATATCATGGTACCTTTGATTTTTTTATATTATTTATATGAGATTAATTATAAATAAGATATTTGATTTTTATGAACTATAAATTTTGCTTTTTATTTTCTCTTTTTTTTTGCATTACAAAAAGGAGATTTAATAGGAAATCAGTGAGTTAATTAAGCTGGTAATGGTGCAACTGTTGGAGTCCTGACTTCTTCATTGAAACCATGGCATCTACACAAGCCATTATCGCATCGGCAATCGACACAAGCCTCACAAGCAATATTTGTTAAGCATTCTGATTGTTTTTTGCATTTGAATGATATGATAATTTCTTCTTTGGCTTCCACTTTAGAATTTGAAACTGCCAAGAACAAAAAAATTAAATATAATAATGCTATTACATGAACAATAAGTAAAATTTAGTTTGAGGTAAAAAACTACATACAAGTCGAGGTGAAGACAAGAGTGACCAACAACACTGCAATGGTTACCCGAAGGTTGTTCATATTTTCTTTGAGTTCGGAATTGCTTTTTTTTTGGTAGAATTTGATGAGAAGCTGTTTGGTGCAAATGATGGAAGACAACAATAATATTGCATATATAGATAGAATCATGATTGGTCAAGAAGGTTACTTCGTTGCCTAAAATGATTTAGTTGTGCAAGTGCTTTTGTTGAATTATGCAAATACAATATATGGTAGGTTTGCAAAAATCTATTTAAGTTGTACATATTTGTTACATTTGGTAATAACTTATTGCTTTGACCACAAATATTTAAAATTTTCATAATTATTACTCACAGAAATTTTAATTATAATTTCTATTTCTTTGATAAAAATATCATTCACTATTTTAATTTAGAATAATGAAATTTAGCAAAGAGACTTTAATAGAAAAAGATGGCACAAGTATAAAACTAAAATATGGAGCAAATTCAACACACCAATCCTTTGACTTTAAATTTTACATGATAGCGATGCTATATAATGGTTATTTAAGAAAAACTTTCTTATGATAAGCTGGTAATTTTATTTTGTAGACAAAATATAATTGTTATGAATTGATGTTATATCGGAAAAATTTATCTACGCTACGACCTACATGATTGCACATAGGTGGACAACAGTAGAAGACAATAATGTCACACACGATAGAATACTATGACTATGATTAGTTAGTGAAGATAATATCTACACCAGAAGATTGATTTGCTTTCTCAACACATATGAATAAGGATTAATTTATCTATTCTTTTTAATTTCTTTTGTTCCATACAATTTAAATCCCAAGAAATATAGTTTAGTAAGGAGTACTAAATTTTGTAAATATGATATAATATTATATAGTACAAAGTTTTTTTTTTGAACTACTTTATATAGTACTAAGTTCAATCTACTTAATATAATTTTATTGTACGACAATTGGCAAATTATTTGCAGCCTTCTAGCTCGATCGGCTCAATAATTTGATCTCTGTATAAACCTCTATGAATGAGAAATAAATCACATTTTCTTTCTTTAAACCTTAGAAATCTAGGGCTATAGTAAAAGAGCCCAATATCATTTAAAGCTATTTATAAATCAAACATTTAGAACCTTAAGAATCTTGGGCTATGGTAATAGTGCTTAGTGAGTACTAGTATTTAAAGCTCCTTAACAAATTGGATCTTTAAATCAAACACCTAGCACCATCAAACCCACATCCTAGACATTCTAATTTATTTAGCCCAAAAGCCCATATAATTTATATGTAAATTTTTTTTTTTTGTTCAACGACTTCCATTAAGGCTCAGAAACAGAGATTTCGGAGTCAAAGAGCTCTTTTTGTAATCGAGTCGGCCATACAGTTGCCCTCTTTAAGAATAAAATGATAAAAAATCATAGAAAATAACATGGCTAACATCCTAATATCATAAAGAACCTCCTGCAGTTAGAGTTAAATTTTTTTACTAGAGGTCGACAATCCGAGAGGAAGATGTGTAATTCTATAGTTTGAAGCATCCGTTTGAGAGTTGAGACATTACCAACCAAATTGCCCATGCTTCTGCTGCCAACGGGGATGTCATGTTCTGTTTTTGATCTGAGAAATACTGTTCATCAAGTTCATCATTTTCGCCAAAGAAAAAATCCATACTACTGTTACCGGATATCTTCGAAGCTACGTCAGCAATGCACATAGTGCCTGAAGTCGATAGAGAGATGATGTTTGGTGTAGTCTGCGTTGGTTTCTTTTGATGCAGGTGGTCCCGCGCTGTTGTGTATTTTGGAGATAGTTGATATAAAATGGAGAGTTGGTAATATTTTATATTTGATTTTCTAATGATACGTTGGCAATGTTGGACATCAAAAGGTTAATTTTCAATTTTTTTAAAATAGGAGTTAGTTTTCATGATATGGGTTTAAACTTTTTTGAGGGAGATGACAGATCTTCATAGAAACTCGTCAGCTCCAGTAACAGAGAGGAAGACATATGGGTAGGAGAATCCGGTGGTTGAATAGATTCTAGTGGTGCCTCCACAACAAATAGCTTGGAATAGGCCTCAACATTTCAAGACGGGAAATCCGTCCTAATTTATACCTGTTTTGAATTTTCTGTTCTAATCCCAATCAAGTTTAAATGATTTCCTGTTTGGGACTATTTATTGAGTTTAAATGTGTATTCGAAGAGTACACGAAGAAAACAAGAATGAGATAAGGTACCGAATTACTAGTTTTAGGATAAACTTTTTAAAGTAATAAAAATACCTAATAATGATCCATAATTTACCAAACTTCCCAAGATATTTTGAATTTCCAGAAATTTCCTGAAATACCTGTCCCGCTGTTGATTTTTACCCAAATGATTAAGAATTTGTGAAATGATTATATATACCCATATTTCTCGACACTGTTTTGTTAACCGAATTTCCATTCCAATTCTTGTTTATTAGATACTGTTTTTCAATACCCCGAACTGTCCGTTCCAGTCCTTTACCTGTATTCCCCATCCTGATACCTGAAATTCCCGTATCTAGTTTGGATATACAAAAAAAGGAAATAAAAAAACACTCAAACGTGATTCTATTTTTTCCCATATACTATATAGTTTGTTTAAGCAAAGTTGCATTACAAAAAGGTAAATAAAATTAGCGACGAATACAAGAATATCCATGATTATGCAAATGTCGATAACTTTTTTTCTGCAAATTCTTAAAACGATTTTCGTAGAATTTTATTGAAACCGATCGAATGGTTGTGATCAATGTAACAATCAAAGTCTTGAAGTTTAAAATTTGTTACATACATGCCATATCATGGTACCTTTGATTTTTTTTATTATTTATATGAGATTAATTATAAATAAGATATTTGATTTTTATGAACTATAATTTTTGCTTTTTATAATATCTTTTTTTTTTGCATTACAAAAAGGAGATTTAATAGGAAATCAGTGAGTGACACTTATATACATTATGTGAATAAGTGAAACTCTCGCCTCGCAAAAACGCTCCCAGGCACACTTACCAATGCTTACCAGAAATGTTTTCAGATCTATTTTTTTGCCTCTCAACCCTAATCCTTTACCAGAAATAACTAACTCTCCCCTCCCTCCCTAAACTTTGGCCGCATAACACCATGGTCTGGTCGCCTTTCTCCACCGTAAACCCTGATATCCTCCATGAAAAGCCCTCCATTCTTCAACAGTGCGTCTGAGTGCTTCCCCTTTGAGGCTTGCTCGTCCTTTGCTCTGCCTTAAAGCCTACAAAACACGTTTTTTGAAGCGCTTCCAGGAATGAAGATCAAGAAAGAAGCTATCTCCCTTTTGGGAAGTGAATAGAACATCCGTTCAAGGTTTCCCCTGGTTCTAGCCTTGTGCTAAGTGTGTCCCTGCTTTTCAACCAGCTCCCCTCTCTCAAGACCTCTCCCGCCTGGGAAGATTATTACTTCGACTACTTTTCCTTCTGTTACTCTGGTTTTTCATCTAGTTTCAGGCTATATCCTCTTAGTCCTGGCCTTTTTCTCACCGGCTAATCTTCTCTGCAACTCTTTTGCAAGCTCAAAATGACAATCCCAAACAACAACCCAGCAACTAACCCTGAAGAAGAGGAAGACGAAATCATCGACTTACCACATGTAGACAACTCGCGCCTCATTGCAAGATTTAGCCGAAGCTTAGTAGGCCGCATGTTCAACCAGGATATACGAAGCACTGATGCCCTCATAGCTTTCATGCCAAGATCCAACATCTGGGGTGTTGAGGGGCGAGTTCATGGCATAGATCTGGGAAACTCTAGGTTCCAATTCGACTTCGACTCGGAAGCAGACCTCCAAAGGCTTCTAAACAAGAGGCCTTGTCACTTCAACAGATGGTCTTTCTCGCTAGAAAGGTGGATACCCCATGTCGGTGACTCTTTCCCCAACAACATGGTCTTCTGGATAAGAATCTCGGGCATCCCAACCCATTTTTGGATGGAGGAAAACTTCAGAGCCATCAGGAGCAGACTTGGCGATGTCAAAGCGGTTGACGCTAGAGCTGCAAGAGTTCAAGTTCCTTAACGCAGATAACCCTCTTAAATTTACGGCAAGAGCTCGCTTGGAATCTGGAGAAGTGGTGAGGGTTGTAATGAAGTATGAGAAACTGGAGAGATGGTGTCTTACCTGTAGACATATATCTCATGATGAGAGGACTTGCCTGATGCTGTCTGAAGAAGAAAGAAGAGCAAAGATGCTCGAAAGAGAGGCTGAAAGAAACCTTGCTCAACTAGCAAGAGATGACCAAAACAGGGACAGAGACAGAGACATTCTCCAGGCTCGACGCCAAGCTGGGCAAATCTCTGCCCCTATCCGCGAAAGGAGACCTCCCTCTAACCTACAAGATGAAGCTCGTCAGTCTGCATTGACAATAAGAGACGACAGACCCGACCCAAAGAAGAGAGATAACCGGGTCCCAGATGAAAGAAGGTCAGAGAGTGTATGGAATAGAATTGAGCAAAATAACACCTACCATTCAGAAGCCCGCAGATATGAACGGCGACCTGATGATGCTGCTGATTCTCAATCGCGGGAGAGAATCCAACCACCATCCCCGACACTGTTTACAGGAAGCGCCGTTATGAAGAGTCTTTTGCGGCTCGTAAAGGAAAATGGGAAAAATCTAAAGGAAAAGAGGCTGTACCTCCTAGAGATCTCCGCGAGTTCCCTCCTCTTGCTAAGCACCCCCAGAAGCCCAAGGCTCCTCCTGCTCAGCAAAGACCTCTTCTCCCCAACCAGAAGATGTCCTCCGACTCTTAGAGGACTCTCTCTGATCCTCCTCTCCACCACACACATTCCAAAGCTAAGCAAGGATATCTGTCCCCTGAACATCAAAGGACAAGACCTTTTAAACTAAATCTTCTCAGTCGATCAAGCAGCCTTCAAAAGGGAAGTGTTGTTGAATTCGGCGAATCCTCTAAAGCAGCAAGCTCAGCCAAAAAGAGCCTCACCTTTGATACAGCAAAATCGTCAGAGGCTGTCTCTCTTCCTCCTCCGCAGAACTCAGAGCAACCAGCCATGAACCTCCCTCCCCTTCCGCTTTCCCAGAAAAGCTGGTATGAGCAAACCCTTGAGGAAGATAATGAAGAGGACGACCTGATGGCGGAGGACCTGAATCCGGTTAATCAGTCTGTAGCGCCGATCCATATCTTCCACACCGAGGATCTGGAGCTAACAAAGAACCCACCTCACTGTGAAGCTGACTTTATGGAAATGGAAGCTTCGGCGGAGCACACTGGACTGAATGATGCAATTGAGGGCATTGGGGAGGATGATGAATGGATGGATGACACTGACTTGTTCAACGAAGAAGAAATGGATAAACTCCTTAAGGATGATGACTTGCTCGGCGAGGATTTCGCAGATGAAGAAGAACAGAGGCTGGAATTAGCTCCGATGGAGATCCAAGAAGAGGAACAGCAGAGGAAAAAACCATCATGGTGGCGAAGCCCAATCAAATTGGCCCCTGAACAAGAATCCGATCTGGGTGGAGGAAAATCGGGAAAAGCTGCTGGAAGGAAGAAACAAACGCCACGATCACCGGGACCGATGGGAGTTTCCCTGAAAAAGAGGAATTTCGCAGCAGGCCGTATATCTCCAAACTCAAAGGGCAAAGGTCTCAAGCCCCAGCCCGGCCAAAATCCAAGTGGAAGAAAACATGAGAAGCCCACTGGAGAGAAGAAGCCCAAGGATGAAAAGAAGCTCACTGGCAATAAGAAGTCCACTGGAGACAAAAATTCAAAGGCCCACAAGACAAAATTATCATCATCTTTTGGTGTGGGTGAAGCCCAGATACCAGACAACAGCCAGAAATGAACGTCATCAGATGGAACTGTCAGGGCGCAGGAGCCGACCTGACAAAGGACTACCTCGAAGAATTACACCAATGCTTTTTTCCTCGCTTTTTATTTTTATCGGAAACTAAGAATAATCGGATATTTATGCAAGATATGCAAATGTATTTTGGCTATGACCATGTTTATACCGTTGTACCGAGATGTCTAAGCGGTGGTCTAGCCCTTTTCTATATGGATGAACCTACGGTTTCTATTTCTTACTCAGATGAGCATATGATTGATATAGAAACTACTCTAGACGGACATAATATTTTTATGACTTTCATCTACGGAGATCTGGTCGTAGAAAACCGAGGAAATGTCTGGGAACGACTTACGAGAATAAGTATACACAGGAAAGAAGCCTGGTTTATGATAGGCGACTTCAACGAAATAACTGGAAATCATGAGAAACGCGGAGGCAGGCGAAGACCGGAGCATTCTTTCATCCCCTTTCGAACCATGTTAGACCACTATGGAATGCTAGATTTGCCATATAAAGGAAACTCATTCTCATGGGTCAGAAGGAGACGCTTGGGCAAAGTTAAATGTCGGCTCGATAGAGCAGTGGGAAATGAAGTATGGCAATCTAATTTTTCCCACACCACTGTGGAGTACCTTAGATTATGGGGGTCGGATCACCGCCCGGTCTTGGCTAGGATACAGATGGACAACCGAAGGAGGAAAAAGTCATTTAGATTCGATAAAAGATGGCTGGGAAAACCAGGATTCAAAGAGGCTGTTACCTCCGGCTGGGGCTCTTTTGATGGTGTTCCTCGTCGGGATTTCCACCAAAAAGTAGCGAACTGTCGTAAGAGCATCTCTTTATGGAAGAAGTCTCTACCAACTAATTCGGAAAAATGATAGAGGAATTAAAAAACCAACTAGATGCAGCACAAGACGACGATAGTTCATCAATAGAAGAAATAGAAGAGATCAGGCGAAAACTCTGTGCTGCTCTACGCGAGGAGGAATTTTTTTGGAAGCAGAAGAGTCGAGAGCAATGGCACAAGGCGGGAGATAAAAACACAAAATTCTTCCATGCTCTTACTAAACAAAGGAGGAATCGGAATCGTATAGTCGCCCTGAGAGATAGTAATGGGAACAGGGTAGAGAACGCAAAGGGTATTGAGCAGGTTGCATCCCAATACTTTCAAGACCTGTTCACCTCGTCACAACCTGTTAGAATCAGATTCGGCACTCCGGTTTATTACCGAGAAAGTAACAGAGTCCTCTAATCAGCTCCTGCTAAAGGATCCCTCGGAAGCTGAAATAAAAGCAGCACTCTTCGATATCAATCCAGATAAAGCCCCCGTACCAGATGGGATGGCAAGCAAATTCTACCAAAAGTTCTGGCAGAAGTTTCGCCACGATATAGTGAAACTAGTGAAAGACTTTTTTACATCGGGGTCTTTTGATCCTAGACTTAATCAGAAAAATATATGCCTCATCCCCAAGAAAGATAAACCTAGAGCGATGGCGGAATTTCGGCCAATTAGTCTTTGTAATGTAAGCTATAAGATTATCTCGAAGCTTATGTGCAAAAGACTAAAGAGTACCCTACCTAACTTAATTTCGGAAACTCAATCAGCTTTTATGGCTAGACATCTTATCACAGACAACATTCTGTTGGCACAAGAGAACTTCCATGCCCTACGAACCAACCCTGTGTGCAGAGAAAGTTTTATGGCCATCAAGACAGATATGAGTAAAGCATATGACAGAGTAGAATGCAGTTTCATCGAAGCCCTTACGATCAAGCTAGGCTTTTCGGAAAGATGGGTCAGACTATTAATGTTCTGTATTTCATCGGTCTCTTACCAAGTCCTCTTAAATGGAGAACCGAGGGGCAAGATTATTCCGTCGAGAGGATTGCGTCAAGGAGATCCTCTCTCCCCCTTTCTTTTCATTCTGTGTACAGAGGCTCTTATCTCACTTCTCAACGGAGCAGAGGATGAAAAACGTATATCTGGGCTAAAGGTAGCTCAAGCGAGTCCACCAGTTTCACACCTCCTTTTTGCCGATGATAGCCTTTTCTTTTGTAGAGCGGATATCCAACTGGGAGCCAAGATTTTCAGGATCATTAATACATATGGATCGGCCTCGGGACAACAACTTAACCTGGGCAAATCATCCATCATGTTCGAGAATAGAGTGGACCCAATTTTAAAGCAAGGCATCAAGAATGCCATTGGAATTACTTCGGAGGGCGGTATGGGTATGTATCTGGGGCTCCCAGAACAAATTTGTGGATCAAAGAAGAAAGTCTTCTCTTATGTACATGACCGTCTGAGCAACCGTTCAATAACTGGTCTGCAAGACTTCTTTCCAAAGGTGGAAAAGAAATTCAAATAAAATCGGTTGCACAAGCCGTCCCGACTTACGTTATGTCATGCTTTCTATTGCCACAAGGGGTAACTGAAAAATTGCGTAGTGTCATTGCTAATTTTTGGTGGAGCTCAAAGCAAAACAGTAGCGGGATACATTGGATTGCCTGAGACAAAATTTTCATTTCCCAGGATTTGGGAGGCCTTGGATTTAGAGATCTTCAAGATTTTAATTTAGCCCTTCTAACTAAGCAGTGGCGACTCATTTTATACCCCTCATCCCTCTTGGCTCGGGTTTTAAGAGGCAGGTACTACAGACAATCAGACCCTTTAGAAGACCGAAACGTCTACTCACCATCGTACGGATGGCGAAGTATTATGGCCGCGAAACCGCTTCTAAAGATGGGCCTGAGAAAGACAATTGGATCGGGTCTAAACACGAGAGTATGGTGTGAACCATGGATCCCCGATATCAGAGCTCGGCCGGCAATAGCTGGTCCGCACATTGGATACCGAGATCCGGGATTATTGGTATACTCTTTTATCCGGCAAGATACGAAACAATGTGATACCCCCCTTCTAAGACAATTTTTCCAACCTGAGGAAGTTTCCCTTATCCTTGAATTGAGACCTAGCCGAACTCGGACTTTGGATGGATATGCATGGAACCACTCAAAATCAGGACTCTACTCAGTTAAGTCGGGATATGACCTGATTAGAAGAACGAGATTAGACCAGGGAGCTGGTGCGGTGCTAGAACCAAGTATTACAGCCCTTAAAAGGCAAGTCTGGAAAGTCTGCACCCCCGGGAAGATGAAACACTTTATGTGGCAAGCCTTGTCAGGATGCATTGCTACATGCCAGAACCTCACCTATCGCCATATGGGCTCGGATAAGAGCTGTCCCCGCTGTGGCGATCCTGAGGAGTCTATAAACCATCTGCTGTTCCTATGTCCCCCGGCTCTCCAAGTCTGGGCGTTATCGGACTTTCCGTCCCTTCCGGGTTTCTTCCCGAGCACCTCTATTTATCAAAATATGAGCTTTCTTTTTTGGAAAACAAAAAAGCTAGGCATGACAGATCCACAAAAGGACATATATCCTTGGATCCTATGGTACATTTGGAAAGCAAGGAACGATAAAATCTTTAACGGGAAAGAAATTTCTACGGAAGATACCTTGATCCATGCAAAGGTGGAAGCGGAAAGCTGGAAAATCGCAAACCAGCCTGAAGAAGGCGAGGACGTAGTCCATGGGACCTCGGCCCCCCCTCTGGCCTGGACATCTCCACCTGAGGGGCTGCGTCCAGATCTGCCGGATCGATGCCTCTTGGATTGATCATGGGCCGGTCAGTGGCCTCGGGTGGAGTTTGGAAGACGGTATGGGTAAAGAAACTTTTGGACAACAAGGATGCTGCAGAAGCCTCTCCACTCTTCATGCTGAGTTTGACTGCCTCTTATGGGCTATGTCATGCCTGAGAGAAATGCAGATTTCTTCGGTTCTCTTCAAGACGGACTGCTTAGATCTTGTATGCATGTCTGAATCTCCTGCTGACTGGCCATCTTTCAGGTCCGAGCTGGAAACCTTCAGTATCCTTTGCGGAAGTTTCTCGAAATTTGGTTTATCTCATATCCCTAGGAATCAAAATATCCGGGCGGATAGTCTTGCAAAAGGAGCCCGAGATAGAGGCTTAATCTTCTCCCATAGCCATCATACCGAGCTGGTCGAGGAGGATTCCCGGATCCTACCTCCGGCAGGCCACACGTGATGTAATTTTTGGGTTGCTGACAAAAAAAAAAAGGAAATCAGTGAGTTAATTAAGCTGGTAATGGTGCAACTGTTGGAGTCCTGACTTCTTCATTGAAACCATGGCATCTACACAAGCCATTATCGCATTGGCAATCGACACAAGCCTCACAAGCAATATTTGTTAAGCATTCTGACTGTTTTTTGCATTTGAATGATATGATAATTTTGTCTTTGGCTTCCACTTTAGAATTTGAAACTGCCAAGAACAAAGAAATTAATTATAATAATCTATTACTTGAACAATAAGTAAAATTTAGTTTGCGGTAAAAAACTACATACAAGTCGAGGTGAAGACAAGAGTGGCCAACAACACTGCAATGGTTACACGAATGTTGTTCATATTTTCTTTGAGTTCGAAATTGCTTTTTTTTTTTTTGTAGAATTTGATAAGAAGCTGTTTGGTGCAAATGATAGAAGACAACAATAATATGCATATATAGATAGAATCATGATTGGTCAAGAAGGTTACTTCGTTGCCTAAAATGATTTAGTTGTGCAAGTGCTTTTGTTGAATTATGCAAATGCAATATATGTTAGGTTTGCAAATATCTATTTAAGTTGTGCATATTTGTTACTTTTGGTAATAACTTATTTCTTTGACCACAAATATTTATATTTTGCATAATTATTACTCACAGAAATTTTAATTGTAATTTCTATTTCTTTGATAAAAATATCATTCACTATTTTAATTTAGAATAATTAAATTTAGCAAAGAGACTTTAATAGAAAAAGATGGCACAAGTATAAAACTAAAATATGGAGCAAATTCAACACACCAATCCTTTGACTTTAAATTTTACATGATAGCGATGCTATATAATGGTTATTAAAGAAAAACTTTCTT